GACTGGGCGAGTATAAAATAACTCGAAGACACAAATTCATGATCGCTCGGTAAAAATCCGAACTAGGGGGAAGCAAAACTCATCAGAGAACACCCAAAATACTAAATCATTCTAGGGAGATCGGCATTTGTCTGACCCGTAGGCTTATCATGTCCCACACCTCAGCCAAAAATGCCACATCTTAGCTAGAAGAACATCTTTTTATTTCACTCTCGGAATGGTGGGCATGGGGGCTATTAGTTGGATTCATTTTAACTCGGAAAATTTTCCACTCATTTTGTGAGTTGGTATTTCGCCGATCGGATTGTCGAATTTCATTGTAACAAAAAAATTTTCTCATCATTTATAGTCAGAAATTAGGCGACTTGATTTTGGTGAATTTCGACTCGGTATTTCAATAACCCAAGGTGACTGAGTCGGATAGTTAACCGACTACTCCATTTGAAGCTTTTTAACTGGGTGAATTTTCTCACATCCCCTACCAGAGCCTGAGGAGCCACGAATTGAGATAACGAGTCAGTGAATTTTCCTTGTCTGTCCCTTGCCTTAGCCATAAAAGTGTGCTCAACAAGAATCTAATTGTATGTATCGGCTGAGGATAAGCCTTCTCGCCTTGCACGCTCAAGGCTGGAGGGCTAATGTACGGTCCAGGACGAAACCCGACTAGGGGCCTCCACGAGGGACATGTCGGCCATGGCTAAGCCGACCCCCTGTCTAGCAAAGCCCTTCCGCCTTATAGGCTCAGCGCTGGAGGGCTAGTGTACGGTCCAGGTCGGATTCCGACCTGCCTACTACGTATGTCAGGCCGACTGTAGCTCTCGCCGATATGCCAGGCCGACTGTAGCTCTCGCCGATATGCCAGGCCGACTGTAGCTCTCGCCGATATGCCAGGCCGACTGTAGCTCTCGCCGATATGTCAGGCCGACTGTAGCTCTCGCCGATATGCCAGGCCGACTGTAGCTCTCGCCGATCACCCCTCTAAGAGTGGTTCGGTTATTATTCGACTTGGTTTCTCTACTTAACCTGGTCGGTATATTTCCGATTCCTTCCACTTACAAGAACCAACTCGGCCAATACCCGACTGTACCCTCAGTACGAGTATGGTCGGTCGGGGGCCGACACAACTCTCGCATACAGGGACTACCCGATAGCAAGGGCAAGGTCCCACTGTCCCTTACCAAATATTAGCCAGATCAAAACGGTTAAGGAAATCCCTACATTCTCGGGGTCCATAAAGCCCGTAAACAAGAAACTATAAAAGAAAAAACCCTAGAGTTGAGAAGGCAGATTACACTCTTGAATGCTCTGACTTTGAGGTCTGACCTAGGAAAAAACCCTAGTGCACCTCGTGGCCGGAACAAATACATTATACATATATAGAATTTTGTCAAATAGTGGTTGGGAGGGGAGGGGTCGGAGTAGTTAGAAGTATGAGGACCTAGGTTCAATTCTCATTGCGGCCATCTTTGTAATGTTTCCTATTTTTACCAAAAAAAAAAGAATACATTATACATATAAGATCAGTATGTTGATTTTTATACTAACATTTTGTTTGAGGAAGGGTAGGAATAAAGAAATACGAGAGAATAAGTGATAATTGATTTAATAGAAAATACTGAAATATGTATAAAATAAAGTAAAATTTGTAATTATTTAATAGACTAAAATTATGTGAGAAATAAAAAAAAATTAGTATTTTAAAATTGTATTTTACATAATTAGATTTTTACATAAATAATGTTAATTAATTATTATTTTATCCTCTCTACAATTACATGTATAGTTTGAATTATAATCT